GTAGAAAATGCATTTTCTTATAATTTAGAACTTATTTATAAATATACCCATGGAATATTGACATTTTAGATTATTTTTAAAGATGTACCAAATTTTTAAAGAGTACAGATAATAATATTGTCGATATAATTTGTTTATTTTATTAAAAAATAAAAAAACTGTTTAAATATTTGTTAAAGGGGACCAATTAATATCATTCCAGTATTCAAACTACATTAACTGACTGTTTGCGTTGATTAATAATAATTGCTCCAAATACTAAAAAACTGAATTTTGTATGGGTATTAGACAGTGTGATAAAAAGAAACACCTTAAAAATGATATTTCATTTTTTAATAAATACTTATCTATAACAACAGAGACTTTAATTTTGATAACTTATTATTATATTGATTTCTGACTCAAATCCACATTTATTTATAATAATTTATTAACAAACACAATTAAGTATGTAATTAATTAGTATATGGGCGGAAATAATGGTGTTATATTTAATTAATGGTATACTCTTTTATAAAGATTTAAATAGTTTTCTTTTTGCATACAAATGGGCTAGTAATATTATCGTTTTGCTAAAAACTATTTTACCCACTATATTCCCACTACATCTCTCATTGCAAACATTCTTTTCGTTTGAATTGCTGCTCACAGCTAGAATTTTTTTGCATTACAGCCGGTGCCGTTATAAGCCTACTTACTCAAAGTAGGCGAATTTTTGAAAACTCTATATCTCGAAGAGGAATCGAGCAAAATATCAAGTATGCTATATTTTTGGAAAGGTAATTTTAAATTCTTTTGAATGAAAGATTTTTTTGAAGAACACCCCGTAACTCCGAAACGGTAACAGATTTCTAGAACCTGATATGTATGGATACTTCTTATAGTGACAGATGCAACTTTATTTAATGAGATCATATAAATAAAAACGAAAATTTGACAGAATAATTTTGTTTTCTTTATAAATAAAGAGATAAAAAATATTCTTTTTTCTTGACGAAAAGAAATCTTCAATCAGTTCAAATTGAATTCCCACCAGTCTCCAACTCAATACTTCTTGACTTTTAAGACAACAGCAGCTCCTCAATCACTTAGGACGGTCAAAGATCCTAACTTCCTCAAAGTAAATATGAAAAAGTAATTTGAAACTCGTCCTGCTTTGGGGTTAATGGTTGCCTAAAGGACTTTTTCTCCTTATCTCCAACGATGTCGACGATTTTTCGTTCAGGTCATAATTTCCAAGATTGGAAAGAGAAGCTTTTTCAGGGATCGCTTTCCAGCAAAGTTTTCCAGCAGAGTTAACTTTTTTCCGAGTTCTTGCATTAAGTGAATTAGGTCGTGCTTCTAATAAACGCCATTTTTTTTAGTTAAAAGTAATAGTTTTTTAAAGTAGATTTCACTAGCATGCTCTATCCTCTACAGGGTGTCCAAAAAATGGTGCCCTTGGTCCAAACCCTTGCGGTTAAAGTACTATTATATCTACTATTTTTGATAGATATAAGGCAATTTTAACAGTTACTATGAAAAAAATATATTGTTTTTATTAAAATTTTCCAGGTTTATAACTTTTTCGGGAAGAATTTTAGGGCATAATATATGTTCACAGGAGCTTTTTGTGTTATCTGTACTAATATATAAAATCTTTAAGAGACTGACATACTGATTAATCACGATCCTGCTCAAACCACTCAACGTAAGAAGCTCAATTTTGGCATACAAGTTGATTCTAGGGTGTAGAGGTTCGATAAGAAGGGATTTTTCGAAATTCCAGTTCCAAGAGGGTGAAACCACCCCTCAAATATTACAATATTTTTTTATTTAAAAAACGGTCAAGTTTCCGAAAAAACGCTTAAACACGTATATTTTATTTTGTTTTTTACATATTTTAAGATTTTTTAAAAATATATACAAGGTGTTTCGAAAAATCTGGTCATTGATTAATCACGATCCTGCTTAAAGCGCTTGACGTAAAAAGCTGATTTTTGGAAAACAAATTGACTTTAGGGTGTAGGGGTTCGATAAGAAGGGATTTTTCGAAACTCGAATTCTAAGGGGGTGAAACTATCACTCAAATATTAAAATATTTTTCATTTAAAAACCGGTGAGTTTTTCGGAAAAACTCTTAAACACGCATATTTTATTTTGTTGTTTTACATATTTTAAGATTTTTTATAAATTTATACAGGGTGTTTCATAAAATATGACCATTGAGTAATCACGATTCTGCTTAAACTGCTTGACGTTTAAAGCTGATTTTTGGCAAACGGATTGACTGTGGAGTGTAGAGGTTCGATAAGGGGGGTTTCTCGAATTTCAAATTCCAAGAGGGTGAAAACGCTCAAATATTACAGTATTTGTTATTTAAAAAACGGTTAGTCTTTCGGGAAAAAGCTTGGACAAGCATAATTTATTTTGTTTTTTTACATATTTTGAAATTTTTTTAAAAAATCATACAGGGTGTTCCAAAAAGTTGGGTAATTTCTTAACCACGATTCTGCTTAAACTGCTTGACGTAAAAAACTTATTTTTGGCAAACGGATTTTTCGAAAGTCAAATTCCAACGAGATGAAACTACCTTTCAAATATTACCACGCTGTATAATAATATCGCCATATTGTTTTTTCTCATGCTGACATAAATGTGAGAAAATTTTATCCAGTTTGTATGTTAATGGAAATTCATGCTTTGCTTTATCATCACAATTATGATTAATACGTCGCGAACGAAGTCGCTGGTACACGCTAGTTTTTATCTATAAAATCACTCACCAAGGTTAGATACACTATTGTTTTGACACCCTGTATAGGTTTAATAATGTTTCTAAATACGTATAAAGGATTTTTTTGTTGAAACGAGCACTAATTTTTAATCTCCCGATTTAATACAGCTGCAGTTATACCAACCTTATTGATTTTTTAAAGCTCAAAAAACCTAATTACACCAAAAAATGTTTAAATTATGCGCCTATTTTTGATTATCACTTCAAACATGTTTATGTTAAAAAACAAATTTTGTATGGCGTCCTCGAAAAAAAAATTTCTGCTAAACATCAAAATATAAAAAATTCATCATTTTTATCCGTTTTCAAAAAGACCCGTATTTATAATGAAAAAAGGGCAGAATAACGTTGTCACCGTCACGACAACCGCGTTAAAAAAACCGGCCAAATTGTATTTATACCGACTCTTTTATGGAAATATTTTCATTTCCAATGCATATTTGGCTTCATAAAAATGATTGGTACAAGCTACCAATTAGAACGGCCGGGAAAAAATAGTTGAATCCAGATTTAAATGTCATTTTTAGAGAACGTCACACTCCAAAAGGATTGCGTTTTGATATAAATTGCAAACGATAATTTTTTTATTTTTTTTTAAATAGTGAAATTATTTTTAAAACTCTAATTCAAATACATACTAGAATACTTTGAATAAAAAGATTAAGGAGGGAGCATATCAAATCAAAAGTCTTAGATCGAACGCGACGGGGGCTCCTAAAATGGCCAACTTAAATTCGGGTTTATCAATGCCGTTCTAATTTTATTCAAAACGTGTAAAAATATGATGTAGGGTGTAGGGTTGACTGAATAATTTGTTGCCTTATTTAACGTTGTCAATAAATATCGGTAGGTATTAAAATTGTTATAAAAATATATAATACTAATAAAAATAGATAAGTTATAATAACTATTTATTAACACAAACATCCGATACGCTACTGAAGGAGGTAAGTCAAATTGATGTATCTAAATTCTTTGATGTCTAATCCATATCTAATATTTGACAAGTAGTAAATAAAAGCAAAAATGCAAGAAAAAATATATGATTAGTTAATTTTAAGTACAATAACTTTTCGCCTTGAATATTTTTGAAGTAGTTGAAATTGTTGGCATTTTGAAAGAGTAACCAAAAGATAAAAAAAAACGTTGCTAAGACTATCAAAATGTTGATCTAATAACAATTTGACGTTTATACAATTACGTCAAAAGCAACTTTTTTCCAAAGCCTGCCATGACTTCACTGAATCGTCGTTTTTGTTCACTGTTATTAATATCTTAATTATTAGATATTAATACATCTAGTATTATGGTATTTTGGAATTTCGTCGATTTTAAAATAAACGAACTGTTTCTATCTTATTTTTTTGTTCGAATGAGCATAATCAATAGGACTACTGATACCGTGTTGTAAAAATATGGTAATTACGGTTTTATTTTTGGGTATGTATTATAATTTTGCTAATATCTTCGGTTTGAAAGAAGATATCTAGATGTGGTTTTCGCCGACTTTTTAAGCTTTTACTACTCTTTACTATCAGCTAAAATTACATATACTATCGTATTTAATTTTTTCGAAAAAACGCGCTGTTTGTTAAATTGTAAGAAAGCGCCCCCTAGCGTCTACGTTAAAAACCTTATTATTATTATTTTTATGGTATAATATAGAGTAAGAAACGCTCTTTTAAACGAGCCCTCGTTTGTTGGATTCTGACCATCTAGTCCACAGTTATTAACCTTTAAACAAAGACAGATCTAACCTTCCCCCACCACTCTATTTTAGAAGCTAGGGAAAAATAGTTCTAACAAAAAAAATCCAAAATTTACTGAAGATTATGGAGCTATTATTTATAGTTCTCATAATCTAGGCAAAATTCTGTAAAAATTCTATTTTCTTATTTTCCACAGCAGTTGCGCCCTCTAGCGGCCGTTTTACAAACTTGAAAATAATTTCCAGCAGTTTCTTATAGCCCCTTTAGTTATAAATATTTTTTTCCGTAGGCCCTACGGCTAATACTTTTCGAGATACAGCCGGGAGCTATTCTTAATGGGACACCCTGTACAGCCTCGCCAAAAATCATTTTTTACTCTTAAGAAAACAATATACCATTTTAATAAGGTTTTCATTCTTTGTCGTTAATTTTCTTTGATAAGTTTGATGATGTTTTTACTTTAATTTAAAAATTCTACAGCAAATTGTAAAATCATAAACTGACATTCTACTTACTTCACGTGTCATGACTATTAAGGTGATATTTGGTGCGTGCTGATCGTAGAAGGCGTTGGGATCAGTGATATTAATACCATCGGAAGGACTCCACGTTCCCACCTTCTGGATTTCTTCTTTTTTCAGCTTGAGCAAGTCCACCTTGAAGTTTGAACGTTTCCCTTCCTGGAATTCAAGGTTGCCCGTCAATCCGTGCAAGTCAGACTGAAAAAAAAAATAAAGAAACTTAAAAAAATATAATCCGTAAACAATGTATCCATTTAAATTACTTTAAAAACTTTGAAACTTTCGTATGGCATACTAGATATGATGATCTAAGGTACGCTATTTATTTTATTCAAAATAATCAACATTTAAATGTTTTGCAATTTTTTGTAACTACTTTTCCAAAATACATTCACTTCCTCTACTACTTCTTGTTTCCGATAGATATATATACAGGGTGAGTTTCCTACGATGTTCTCTATGGGTATCTCGGAGACTACTGGAGATAGAGAGTCGGTTAAATGGGGAAAGAATTGCAGTTTTGTGGGGTCATAAATATGCGCCTTTTAGATTTTTGAAAAAGTTCATGGCTTACTAGATATTTTGAAAAAAACAAAATTTCGGCTATTTTAAAAATTGTCCCTAATTCCATTATAAGCTATTTTAGACAAAAAGTTTTCAGATAAAAGTTGTAGGTAATCACATTCTTAATGAGGCTGTATCCTCCGCTTTTTTCTAAAGCCTGTCATTTTTGACATATGACACAAACATAGGTTTTTTTAAATGGAAACCATAGTTGGCCATGGCTTGATAAAAAGCGCCACTTTTTAAGCTTTTCAGCGATATAAGCTATAATATGTTTTCTTCGAAAAATTACTGAGTTATAGCCAATTCTTCTCATTTTTAAACAATTTCACTTAGTTAGCCACGGAAACAAGTTTAATCGTTTTTGCTCTCATAAATGTGAAGCTGTCACATCCAAACTTTGCAAATTAAAATAAATACAAATTGTAAATATGAATTTTTCAAATGAAGAAAAGCGTGTAGGATTATTGGTTCAACTTTTCTTGACCATACATTTTCGAGGATACGTTGACCGGTGAATGTTACGTTTTTTAGAGAACGGCTTTCAAGACATGTTAGAAAAGTTAAATTTAGTTATAGCCAATTCTTATCTTTCTTAGCTAATTTCACTTAGATTGCATGGTATTCTTATTCTGTTATGATAACTTATAAAAAGTCAGAATATATTACTAAACGGTTCTTTACAATTTACATTACACAAACTAAAACTTAAAAAAATAATATCACTACATACACTTTAAGTTATTTTAAAAAGTGTTCAAAAAATCCGCCATTGTTTTGAGTTGCATGTTTTTAAAACTGAATTATTACCCATTCTCACAGAAGGACCGGTCAACTTAATCAAACTTCTCTCGTACCGCCACTTCGAGTGCCTCTCTTAATTCATAAGTTTCTTTGTAAACCTTATTGTTAAATATACCGCATAAAAAATTCTAAAATGGATAGGTCAGGTGATCGAGGAGGTCCATGCCCCACGGTACATTGTGAGACAGAAAATTGTAAAGAGAAACAGGCCCTGTAACATAGGATACAACATTTTAATGAACAGTGCTATCCATAAAATCAATAAAATGAAAAATATACGAAATGACATACATGTACTGATTTCTTTCGAAAATCGACATCTATGAAATTATGAACCCTTCCTGGACACTAACGGTACATTGTAAGACAGAAAATTGTAGAGAGAAACAAGCCCTATATCATAGGATACAACATTTTAATGAACAGTGCTTCCCATATAATCAATAAAATGAAAAATATACGAAATAATATACATGTACTGATTTCTTTCGAAAATCGACATCTATAAAACTGTGTACCCTTCCTGGACACAAACGGTACATTGTGGGACAGGATATTGTAGAGAGAAACAAGCCCTATAACATAGGATACAACATTTTAATGAACAGTGCTTCCCATATAATCAATAAAATGAAAAATATACGAGATAATATACATGTACTGATTTCTTTCGAAAATCGACATCTATGAAACTATGAACCCTTCCTGGACACAAACGGTACATTGTGAGACAGGATATTGTCGAGAGAAACAAGCCCTATAATATAGGATACAACATTTTAATGAACAGTGCTTCCCATATAATCAATAAAATGAAAAATATACGAGATAATATACATGTACTGATTTCTTTCGAAAATCGACATCTATGAAACTATGAACCCTTCCTGGACACAAACGGTACATTGTGAGACAGGATATTGTCGAGAGAAACAAGCCCTATAATATAGGATACAACATTTTAATGAACAGTGCTTCCCATATAATCAATAAAATGAAAATATACGAAATAATATACATGTACTGATTTCTTTCGAAAATCGACATCTATGAAACTATGAACCCTTCCTGGACACAAACGGTACATTGTAAGACAGAAAATTGTAGAGAGAAACAAGTCCTATAACATAGGATACAACATTTTAATGAACAGTGCTTCCCATATAATCAATAAAATGAAAAATATACGAATTAATATACATGTACTGATTTCTTTCGAAAATCGACATCTATGAAACTATGAACCCTTCCTGGACACAAACGGTACATTGTGAGACAGGATATTGTCGAGAGAAACAAGCCCTATAATATAGGATACAACATTTTAATGAACAGTGCTTCCCATATAATCAATAAAATGAAAAATATACGAAATAATATACATGTACTGATTTCTTTCGAAAATCGACATCTATGAAACTATGAACCCTTCCTGGACACAAACGGTACATTGTAAGACAGAAAATTGTAGAGAGAAACAAGTCCTATAACATAGGATACAACATTTTAATGAACAGTGCTTCCCATATAATCAATAAAATGAAAAATATACGAATTAATATACATGTACTGATTTCTTTCGAAAATCGACATCTATGAAACTATGAACCCTTCCTGGACACAAACGGTACATGATGAGACAGGAAATTGTAGAGAGAAACAAGCCCTTTAACACAGGATACAACATTTTAATGAACAGTGTTATCCATAAAATCAATAAAATGAAAAATTTACGAAATAAAATACATGTACTCATTTCTTTCGAAAATCGACATCTATGAAACTATGAACCCTTGCTGGACACAAACGGTACATTGTGAGACAGAATATTGTGGGTATATTGGTTTTCTTTAACCCTTAACTGGTCCGGCGTCGTCTGACAGACTACGCCAAATAATTAACTCATTCTCATTAGTTACTGGGGCCGCCTACAGGATTGGCGTTCCAGCTAATCCTCCCCCTCACGGTTAACAACTGATAGCCATATTTATGCCCAAACTGGATTAGTTTTTTAGAAGTTATGGCAGAAGTTACTTAAGCCGTAGTCTCTCAGACGACGCCGGACCGTTTGTGTAAGATTTTGTATGTGACAAACTTTTGTAAAATATAGCCGGGTCTTCGAAAAAATGCATTTAGGAGACTCTAGTTATGAAGAAACTCTATTAAAATGATATGATGAGGACTGTGACAGTGACAATATGACAATCTGCCAGACAAATGCGTTTGACAATGTCAAATATTCCACGAGAAATACACTTTACAATTGGTAGAATACTTCCAATTCCTGTACAACCAGAAAATGCCTACGGAGATATTCTTATCCTATAGAGTTCTTATCATAGTTAAAGACAATGTTATGTCCTAGTTAATTATTTTTAATGCCTAGAATGTACGATTCCATTGTGTAAAACATGTTTAGGAAAACAATGAACTTTGCCTCATGCTGTAACTCAAATTTTTTTCTTAACTCCAGTTTTATAACTTATTTTTTTTATATATATATAATATTAAAAACTTATTTCTATATTGTAATGACTGTTAGTAATTTGGTTTTATTTTTTAGAGCTTGGTAAAAACCTAATCGATTTTATTTCAAATTTATATGTATGTTATTTTATTTTGTACTATATTTTCTTAAAGTTAATATTAATTGAACCCATTTTTGGCTAGATTAGTTCAATAATACGTAATATAATATATAATGAAATAAAAATTTGTTATTTTTTAATTTTTCTGCGTTTTTTAAACTTTTTAGAAGGCGTAGTCCCACAGACTACGCCGGACCGTTTATGATACATATCTATTACAGGACCAGTTAAGGGTTAATAACAAGGTACTAACTTTCAAATTTTAGCACTGCCTGAACTATTTTATAAAAGGAATTACCTAGGATAAAAAAATAAAGTTAAAAAACCTTATCTAAATGTAACTTCGATCTGACGTCCTCGTAAAACGGACCTATAAAACTCCTAAACGATTCATTTGAAGATGGGCCTATAAAATATCGACTATAACGACGAGTATGAACGGCCTGACATATAATATATGTTCTTAAATGTTCAAATTTAAACCACATCGAACGAAGAATAAAACCATCGTTAAGGTGTCGTAAACCGGGCAGACTTAATACTTTTGAAATAACGACAATTTTCGACGATTTTTATAACTATAACTATTCGCATACCCCCCGGTTGTGCGTCATAAAACATCAAGCATCGTAGAATAAAATTCGTAAAAGTAACTATTTTATTTGGAGTTAACGTAAATTTAAAAATATTCAAACCGAAAATGATATTAATGCAGGCAACCAGAAATACTACACTCAAAAAGAACAAAGAAAAATACACAACCCTATTTTTAGTTGTCGTTTTCAAATTTGTAAACAAAACCGGAACAGAAAAATCACCTATTTTATGAAAATTAAGATTTAATATGGCTTAATTGATGCAGTAATATATTCTGAATTAATTGAATAATTAAAACTATCAGTTTTAATCATTTGCCGATGATGCTAACAAGGTTAGCGAAACGCGCGTTCGGTATAGTGTTTAAAAGTAAAGTGTTTTGGTGTATTGTGCGTTGTGAATTAGTGTTTTATTTTGATGATGTAACGCCAAAGATTCCAACCCCCCAACTGTAACATTATTAAGATTAAAAATAGTATGGTAGCTCTGAGAGTCTTAAAATACTGAAATGATTGGGTTTACGTACGGTATATACCGTATACAGGGTGGTCCTAATTGTATTTTGTAGAAAATTTAATTTGTATTAACTGTAGAAAATAAGTAAAACCGTTCGTATGTTCTAAAATGCTTTTTTTAGGAGATACA